CGGGCGCCAACCGACTCGTGTTGAAGTGACCTCATTTGGAGCACGTCCTGTTTAGAAGTGATTTGACCTCGTTTTCGCAATTTGGTCGTCTTGTCAGCCGACTAAGGAGGACACACCTTGTACGTGGTTCTCTGACACTGTGGTCATGATAATTTACGGCGTCGGCTTGTCGACTAGCTAAATAGCCAGGCGTTTTGCCGGTACAATGGTCGGCATTGTCAGTGAGTTTTATATACGAAGAAAAGTTGGGTTTCGAGGAATCTCCTGTTTCATAATTGTTGGGATTACTTCCATTTCGAGCTATGAAGAAAAGTTGGGTTTCGAGGAATCTCTTGTTTCATAGTTGTTGGGATTACTTCCATTTCGAGTAGGTGAGCTGTGCAAATAAATATGAAGAAAAGTTAGGTTTCGAGGAATCTCTTGTTTCATAATTGTTGAGCTTACTTCCATTTCGAGTGAAAGTGTTTGGTGAATCGAAGGAGATTGCCTCGGAAACAGCGTCAGCATGAATTTTCCAGTAAAGCCAATCGACAGCTGGTCAAGCGGAATCCGTCACTGGTCGTCTTCTGGTGGAACCGACATTCGAATCTCTTCACGCAACACTTTCACTCGAACTCCGTCGCTGGTCGTCTTCTGGTGGAACCGACCTTCGAATCTCTTCACCCAACACTTCCACTCGAAATGGAAGGCCGTCGTCTTCTGGTGGCACTGACCATTGAATCCCTTCACCCAACACTTTCACTCGAAATTGAAGTAAGCTACCGTCGTCTTCTGGTGGAACCGACCTTCGAATCTCTTCACCCAACACTTTCACTCGAAGTGGAAGTAAGCTCAAGTCGTCTTCTGGTGGAACCGACCGTCGAATCGCTTCACTCAACACTTTCACTCGAAATGGAAGTCAGCTCAATGTCTTCTGATGGAACCGACCTTCGAATCTCTTCACCCAACATTTCTACTCGAAATGGAAGTAATCCCAACATTCTTCTGGTGGAACCGACCTTCGAATCTCTTCACCCAACACTTTCACTCGGAATGGAAGTAAGCTCAACAATTATAGCGTCAGCATGAATCTTCCAGTAAAGCCAATCGACAGCTGGTCAAGAGGAATCCGCCGTCGTCTTCTGGGGACCTTTGAATCTCTTCACCCAACACTTCTATTCGAAATGGAAGTAATCCCAACAATTGTCAGTGAGCTTTACAACCCGTCACAGACTCGCAGACTACGATGCT